ATCGAACCTCGAGACGCGTTCCCGTTCGAAAGTCGCAGCAGCGACGCCACGTAATTCGCACCGCTCGCGCGCCACCCTCAAAGAGCGCTCGTTCGCAACACGAAGAGAGAGAATATTTCTCTGCGATGTGACGCGCTCCGAGCTCCGGCAACCCCGCGCCACCCTATCATCCTCCCTTTTCCTCTGGTTTCACATTTTTTTTTCAATATTTTCTCGTCGATTACCATATACACGTCTCTCCTCCTATTCTTCGTTCTCCTCGTTTCTCATGGGGAGACTTTCAGCTCGTCGTTTTCTCTTTTCCTTTTTTTCTTTTCTCTCTATACGGTCTGCGCGAGAAGACACTTTTCGTCGCGCACGACTGGATACAAGTGGTGTGCAAACTGCACCGATTTGCTTCTCCGATCGTTAAAGTCGAGCACGTCTTTTCTCTCTCCCTCTCTTTTTCTTTGCGTTTCGCTCGATCTCCGTTTCCCCGTTTCTCTCTTCCGTGTTTCCCGCCGCGAGACTGCAACCCGTGCACCACGGCTGTTGCACGGAGTCCAGAGACTCTGCGACACTGCTCGTCCGTTGGAACAACGATGGTTAAGGGAGACGACGACAAAGTAAGAAAGGGAAAAACGGACGACCAGCGAAACATTTTTGTTTTTCTCCTCGATTGATCTCCAAACGCTATTTCGATTTATCTCTCGTGCTACATACACTCGCACAACATACACGGACATACGCACGCATGCATATATTCATTTTCTCCATTTCTCTCTTTATCTTTCTCTCTTTTTCCCTTTCTTTCTATCTCATTCTCCAGCCCATTCCTGTTCCCTCCCTCCCTGATCTCGTAATATATTTTTGAGAATCAGATCAGACTTATCAGCGAAATATCGAATTAAAGATTCTCTTCTCGCGTGATCGGGCGTACGCGCGCGCACCTCCGACATTGTTGTTTGTTTCGCGGTTAATCATGTTCACTCGCGTGTCTGACGCATTTTATCTCGATTATATCTCTCGGCTCGTTTTAATTGTAAATCCGCGCGACGGCGTCCCCGTCACATCAGAAACGTAGATGCTAAAGAGAGTACCTATAAATATAGTTTATATGTATATATATATATATAGAATATAATATAATAATATAATATAATAATAATATAATAATATATATAATAATATAATAATATAATAATATAATATA